CTAGGCTGCCTCAGTGAGGTGGTATGAATAGAAGGATTTTTGTAAAACAGACTAGAATATGGAGAAGGGGAGAGGTGGAAAGAAAAAAACATGTTACAAAACTACCTAGAAAGGCAAATATGAAAGATGAAAGATGGAGGAAGAGGAAGCATTTGCAAGGAGGATTGGGAAGGAGTTAGAATGAAAAAGAATTTCAGATCAGTGGAGTCAGAGATGGGTACAGGGGACCTGTGAGGAGGATAAATTAAATCAATAATGAAACGTAAATGAATGGAGAGAGGAAAGGAGGAGGGAAGAGAGATTAAGGGGAAGAAGAGTGATGGTCATCGACCACAATGACAGGGGATTAGAGTATGAGTAGGGAAGTTATAGCATATTGGGGAACAGGTGGAGAAGGGTTGGTGCAAGGAGGTGGCATGCGATGGCAGATAGAGCAAGGTTTGGGACTGAGGCATCCTTGTGTTTCACCACTTGATAACTGCATGATCAAAGTCAAGTTTCTCAGCTTCCCTGAGCCTCAGATTTTACATCTATCAAATGGAGACAACAAGATTTACTCGAGATGTTGCTGACATTATACATCAAAGCAGTAGTTATAATTTATTGAGCACCTACTATGTGTTAAGCACTTTGCATAATTATTTCTGTAGCATCACAAGCCCCATAAGGCAGGAATTGTTATCATCATTTATTGCTATACTGCTTAAAGTTTTGAAGTCACAGAGCATGTGTTCAGAAGAGCGAGTTCTTTTCCTGTGGTCATTTCAGATTTGACACTGACCGCTGGATAAAGTGGGTACTCTTTGCCCTCCTTTTCTGTCTTGTCTTCAATCACTCTTTCTCCCCCTCGCTGAACTTCCTCCATTTCCCTCCATAAACTTTGCCTTCTCTGCCCACCATTCGTTTCCAGATTCTGTGTTCTCAGGCAGGTGTCTTAGTTGTGAGCAACAGAAACCAATTTTAAATAGTTTAAGCAGAAACTGAATTCAGAATTTCATAAAGTGATATTAGAATATAGCACTTAGAATCCCAGGAGGGCACTGGATCTGGGCTTAGAGTCCATGAAGTCAAGGGCACCACTCCAAATCAGCACAGAACTGGACCAGTGGAGATATTGTTGCAGCTGCAGCCAGACATAAATAGGGCAACTCACACTGTTCACACCAGTGTCAGTGGGCTGCAGGCAGTGCCATTAGAACCCTTTCCACTAGCAATGAAACCTAGATGTAACTGCCCCAACTGTCACCCCTTGGGCCCCCAATGGATTCTACCTTTTTCCAGCTTCCTTCCCAGCATCTGAAGTGGACGAATCTGATTAGTGAAGTCTGGATCATGTGTACAAGTTTTATCTGCAATGGAGGTTGAGAAAGATCTAGAAGTTTTAGCTTCTTTGTCGGAGATGGGCTGTGCCCTCTAATGAAACACCCTCTGATGTAGGAAAGCAGTTGCAAAGAATGCCAAACGCCGGTTTTAATCTGGAATGTCCATCCCCATGTGACTAGTATGTTATGGCTCAACTTTGATGCCACTGCCTCTGAGAAGCTTTCTTTGATTTCTCCAAGCAGTAGTTGTAAGGCACCTCATATAGGAAACATATGTGTGTCTGTCTGCCTGCCTGCCTGGTACCCAGGATATTTCTGTGCCAGGCTCATCCCTGCCTCCCACCCCCCATCATTATAAACTCACCAAGGGCAGGAGCTGTGTTTTTCCAACTCTGAATCCCCATATAGTGCCTGGTAGGCACCCTTGATATCTGGTGGTGAATGAATGAATGAAAGTGTTGGTCTCATTTGACAGGCCTTTGTACCAGAGGTCCATGAAGGACTTGCACAGACTCTGCCTTACATAAGGGAGCCCTTTTTTTTTTTTCCTGGTGTGCACTTCTATAAATGGACTATGTCAGCATATTTGAAGAAAGGGGCATAGAGAATCAGAAAGCCCCATTGCAGAGGATAGTGGCGGATTGTAAGGGTACAAAGGAGAGACTGGGGGAGGCAGGGCGACATATTTTGCAGAAGTAAATGAACTGGAGCAGGCATCAGAGAGGCAGGAGATGGTTTAGAATCAGAGGACTTGAAAGGCTGGATTCCACCACCCCCCTACCCCCCTTGGTTTCACAGATTAGTAAACTGAGACAGGAGAAGCATACCTTACAAACCTCACAGCAGAAACAGACCCAGCTGTGCTCTGTAGATTTGCCTTTTACAGCTTCTTTGATGGGTGGGCTTTTCCAAGGTCACTGAGGACAGAGGGATTTAATGGAAATAGCCAAGGCTTTGTAGCCTGGAGTTCAAATCTCAGCTCTTCAGCTCATTAGTTATGTGACCTTGGAAAGTCTCTTCACTTCCCTGACCTCCTGATCTCAGTTTCCTCATATGGGAAATGGGAATCATAATACCCATCTCATTAAATTATAGTTGTGTATAAAAGCTAACATATGGACATGTCTAGCACTTGGAGAATGCTTAATAAACTGTATTGTTAAGTCCAAGGTCACAGAACAGGTTTTCAGTATTCTGCCTTTATCCAAAATCATTAAAAGGAATAAATAAATAAACAAAATGTGATGTGAGAGGGAAAAAGCGATTCATGTGAAGGGTTAAAGATGAAAAGAGGGAAAGAGGCAGAAGAGGGACGAAATAAGAAGAGAAGTTAATGTGCAGGGGTGCAAGCTAGTCAGAAATGGGAAATGGGTCACAAATTATAAGGAGAAAGCATTTATGAGATTAAAGTCAAGATGAGGAAGAAGGAAATGAGTGGAGAGATGAGAGAAGAGAGAGAGAAGCAACGTGAAGAAATGTAGGGAGTGGGGAAGCACTGGATCCTTGCAGGGGTGACCACTCCCTGGAGAGTCTGAGGTATGTGGGTCAGAGACTCACTGAACCAGCCCAAGGCCAAAGGATGCCTTTTCTGAGGACTTAGGTTTACATCTCAACTTGAATCTAGGAGGAGGGGGCGCGGGGGTGGGGTGGAGAACTGGTAAGAGGACCCCTCCTCTGGGAATTGGGCAGAGGACCTAGAAGCCGGGGATCCAGGAGCAGAGTAGCAGGTCTCTACCCCGCACCCTTTTCAGGAATTTCACACAGAGGGCAGAAGCAGCCAAGGAGAGTCGCTCCAAGCTGGGAGCGGGGATCCAAAATAAAAGCGCGTGAATGGGCTGTCTTGCAGGGTGGCCGCTAAAAGGCCAGGGTGGCCTGACTGGAGGTGGGGAGGTGGGAGATGGGGGGGGGAGGTGTGTTAGTGGATGGAGTTCGACGCCCCTCTGTCCATTAGCAGTTAGTGCGACCGACCACTGATGCCTGGATGGAGGGCAGAGGGGATTCCTTGCAGTGGGAGAATAAATGCTTGAGTTGTGCGCAAGTGGGTGGGGAAGGGGCTCTGAGGCCACAGGAAGTTATTTCAGGAACTAGAAAAGGGTAAAGACTGAAGACAGGACTTGTTCTTGGGCCTGAGGGGAGACAAAGTTAAGTCTTGGCCATCCAGGGGCGCTCCCTACCCCCAAGAAGGCGGGGCCTCGAGCGAGGCAGGGCTAAGGCGCGCCCCAGGTGCAGCCTTTGGGTTGAGCCAAGGGTGGGGTGAAGCTAGGAGGGCTGGGTTGAGCCTGGGGGGATGAGTGGAGACGCGAGGGGGTCCCTAAGTATCAGGAATTTGGGGAGAGGGTTTGTGGCTCAAGAACGCTGTGAGGGCGGTGTTGAGGGATCCTGGGAAAGCGGAGGGAGCTACTGGGACTTGCACGAGGCCGGGCGGAGCCTCCGAAGCGCTCGGGGTCTGCGGGGGGAGCCGGAGGAGCGGGGCGGGCGGCGGGGCCCGGGGAGGCGGCGCGGGGGGGCGGTCCAGGGCCGGTCGGGAGGCGGAGCCCGGAGCTGGGGGCTGGCGGCGA